AAAGGGGAATTTTCCGGGAGGAAAAGACTAAGAATTTCATACACAGATAAAATTTAATCCTAAAGAGGTTTTTCCATTAGGGTGTTATTGATGAAATAAATATCCCATCTCGGTAGAAACCCAAAAATGAGCGTTGAAAAAGCAACATGACTCAGTAAAACTTTGTTTTAACCCAAATGAAAGGGGGGTTTGGGAACCCGAGGGAAAATTTGCACAAAATCAAAGGATAGGGGAACAATGAAAGATAATGATGGTGCGTCCCTTGGGCCCCAAAGTCATGCTTGGTCGCGGAAAAAAAACCAGTGTTTCCAGAGCATACGCAGGGGATTTGAAAAAACACGAAGCTATTACTGTTGATTATAAAAAACTCCAAAAAACCCATGTTCAATAAATCGCAGTAGGAAAACTCTGTTTCGGAATGGTTTAAGGGGCTTTTGGAAGTCCCCAACAAACCCTTTCCCATAACCTGGATCTGTACATCGGGGCATTTTTTGCATGCCAAATTAACTTTTGGTGTATAAAAGGATTTAAATTTAAGGGGAGCGCTGGGGGAAAAAGGGGGAAAACCCAGGGGCATTAGTAGATTTTGGGACTGGTGTTTGTGGGTGAAAACCCATTTAAACCCTGGGGGCTGTACCGAATTTTGGGGCTTTGTATTCCCCTTTGGGCCCAAATTTTAGTGGACCTAAAAAAACTATTGGGTATTCGACCGAATGGGTTCCCCGGTCGGGCCAAATTTAGGAAAAATGGTTCCCTTTACCCCGTTTTGGATTTGGGGGAAAAAAACATATCAAAGGTTTCTTTCTCCCACCCTAAAAGGTCCCAAAGTAAAAGTCTGTTCAGTCACCCTGGGAAAAAACCTTCAGTGAGACAAGAATGTTGCCAACATGAAACGATTTTTTTTTTTAAAAAACCCAATGCCGTTTTAAAGGTTTAAATAAGCTTTAGTGACAATTTACAAGTTTATTTTATTTGTTAAAAAATTTAAGAAAAATTTCATTCCTAGTATTGGGTTAACCCCGATGAGCTGAAGGATGAAAAAACTTAAATTTTTTTAAATTTTTCCCTTTTCTTTTACTATATTTTTTTTGAAGTGAAATGCAGCGTACTTTTGAAATTATGGATTTTTTTTTAAAAAAGATATTTTTTATATTTTCAAAGTGAAAGAATGGGCCTCATTTTTAAAATAGTGGGAAAACAGAAGTAAAAGGCGGTATCAAAAAAAATAATTATTCCTAAAAGTGTAATATAAGTGAGTGGTTTTTTTTTTTTGGGGGAAAAATACAGAAAAATTTTGTATCTGGGCACGTGGACAACACCCCCGGGGAAAAGCAGTACTCAAATAAAAAAAACAGAAAAGGGGCAGGAAAAAAACTAAATTTTTATTAAATGAAGAACACCTTATGGGAAAATCTTTTTCATTTAAGGTTAGAAAAAAAAATTCCCTTTCTTGTACCGCATCCCGTTTGAAAATAGGGCGTGAGTCCTGTGCAATCGGTAGGCAGGCCCAAAAGATGTGGTTTTACAGAAAAAATGTTTAGTTTTCCCTTTAAAAAAAAAAAAAAAAAACCAAGAATTTTTTAAAAAGCGGGGGACCCACAGACATCAGAAGGGAAAAATCATCATTTTTCAAGGTTTTACGATGAGGTAAAATGGAACATGGGGGTGACCCCTGGAAAGATTGTGGTAGGAGGGATAAGGGGAAAAACGAGAGAAGATTCTTACAGTCGTGTTTCATGGCAGGGGGTGTCGGCACACGAAAATTTTTAAAATGGGTTAGGAGAAACGCAATTTTGGCGAGGGCCCTAAACCCTTTCCAGTCGGCAAAAGCACCTGATGATGATGATTCACCATTCGTAGCGTTTCGATTCCCGGGCCCAAAAGACGTAAGCCATTCGTATTCGGCCGAAAATTTTAAAAACACCTTTTTGGTAAGCCCCAATTTGAGCCACTTAAGTTTGAAAAAAAATCTGTTTTTGGGGTTTTTCATTTCACCAAATCTGCAGCTAGGATCTAATCGAGCCTCCAGAAATTGTGAAGCGCGTTGGTAACCTCTAAGTCACAGACGCCGACAGACGTTTTTCATTTTACACGTTAATATTCGAGAGTTCGGCTTAGAGATTCAGAGGTTTGTAAAAGTCATGTTTTTTTATGTATCGGAAGAGAGCCATCGTAGTGTAGAGGCTAGACGCTACCTGCGGATCGAAAGGTCGTGATTTCGAGTCCGAACGGAACCAGACTTAAAAAAAAAAAAAAATTACCTTGGCTCCCAGACTGGGTTCGAGGTAACGTCCTAGGAGGTAAAAGAAACCGGCCTGATGCTGATCAAATCACCCACCAAGTACCGATTGGTCTGTAAAATAAAGTTCTAGCCCTATATACCCATTACATCTGAAGGCGTGGAAAGAGACTAATCATTTAATGTTTGCGACTTTTTTTTTTTTTAGACCATTCTCGTAGTTTTCTAACAAAGTACAAGAATCGCCTTGTAGAGACTGAGACCTAAGTTTAATGTCCCAACAGACAACAGTGGATGAATTGTAGCCAGTCATCACCGAGCAGACGGCTCAGAACTGTATTGATTAATAAAGGCAAATCTGTAAACTTATATAACATGTTTTTTTTTTTTTTTATTAAGTCGCATTTTTTTCATATGTCATGATTAAAAGAATCAAAAAATTTATCCCTCAAGATTTCGTGAAGGAGATGGGGAGACAAAGCGGGAGACAAACAGCATGAACAATTTGTCAAGGAGATACCTATATTATTTGAGATTTTAAGCTGCTCTAGAATCTTTCACTGCTGGCTGCGTAGATTTTTATCGTGGTATGGGGCGTCGCAGGTCGACCCAGCCCAAAATGGGTACCAGGGTGTATGTCCTGGGAAAGTAGAGAAGGCTGGAGTAATGCTGGCCACATTGTACCGATGGCCTGAAAAAAATATGGGCGCTCTTCCCATATACCCGATGCGCCTAAAGGCGTGAAAAGGGATGTTTACTTTACTAAGAATCCTTCACCGGATCTCTATACCTGCCATCTTCCAGGCCTTGTATGCGAAAATTTTGAATTAAATTCATTATCACTTAATTTGTGCTTTATCGGATGTTTGATTGCCTTTCTTTCCATCTTCCTCTTCTTAGCGTTCACTGGTTTTAAACTCTAGCGGGAAGTTAAGTTTTCTTTGTCCAGTTCTGTTCTTTGGTCTTGTTTCAGAATTTGAGTTGTGCGTGAACATCTATCTGTTTTGCATACCTGGCTTATTTATGTGCAGACAGTTGGTTCCTTGCCTCAAGTATATGATATATACTTGTGTATATTCTCATCTTTTAGTGATTCGAAAAATTGGGTGGGGGGAGGAAAGGGGGGGGGGCAACGTCATGCAGTGAATAGGTCTAATTTACTATACACTTTTTCAACAAGCGGAGGACAGAAACAGTGTGATGGTTTTTTAATGCTCTTGCTTCCATAGATTTTCCTCCACAACCCTGACGGGTCATAGATTACGTATAAATGTATATCCTAATTTCCGGAGACTCAATACTATTTAAAATCATTAACCTTGAAAGCCTTTAAATCTTCCCCTTTCAGAATCGGCACCATGACCTGACATCCACTCGCCTGGTGTAGGCAACACATGGCTTCCTCCAGTCTCTCTCAGGATAAACTCACGGATAAACGCTCTCCAGATGACGAGCTAGAGAACGGAGTCCTGTCACCTCAACCGTCTTTGCGAACAAGCGGAAACGACGATGACGCCTGCTCCGAGATCGTCAGGATAGAGCAGGGGCATGGACCGGACGACGCAGAAGATAACAATGGCCTGGCGAGGCTTGTTAAAACATTCCAAGTTAGATATCGGGTAAGTCTGGAGGTCATTTCCATTATCGCTTGTCTGTCTGTGTAAATCCTGAGTACCTATGTACCCGCAACCCCTTCCAATGACTGGTCACCTGAAAGTTTGACATCTTGAAATTTCTAAATTTTAATCTGCTTAAAGGTTAAAGGTGAGAAGACCCACTTTATTACACCGGGTTTTTCAATATCAAATGGCTAATTCAGTCTCTCCGCAAATGGCTAGCCACCTACTTACAGCTTCGCACACAGCACGAATCCAGCATCTCCGGCGACGATCTCTGGGATCTCTGTATAAATGGGAATAGTTATCTATGATGTTTCTTTCTGATGGCCGTTGAATCTGTAAATATTTTTAGAATGATAGTATTGAATCTGCAAATATTTGTACAATGATAGTATTGAATCTGTAAACATTTCTACCCCACTAGGACATAACACAAGCGATAAACACCTGATGACACAAAGTGCCACCATGTGGATGAGGATCACCGTGGAGAGGTCCCAGAAACCGCGTTCAGACAATTGGCCATATTTATGGCCTGCCTATATTGCGACCCCTGGCAAAAGCCAGAGTGGGGCTTCAAATAACAAAAAAATTGCGTCGTAATTAAAGAGGACGTGAGGAGTTCACTTAATCAAATAAGAAGAAGTTAATGATAGTAACCCATTTTATGTACTTATTACTCGAGCGGTGTCTCCATAAAATTCGGTTCGAGGACGGGCACAACTGGTCCAATGGTCATTGAATCTTTATATAAAGATCGGGAAGTCTATAACCCTCTGATCTCTCTTTGAAGGACATTTAAGCTTAGAAGTGCTTTCCTTATCTTTACGCCAACTCTGAACATAGTACTTGAAACTCAGGATCTTGTCCACAGATTTGGTTTAATTTTAGTGAATTGTCTCTCTTGGATTCATTCATACAATATTTATTCATTCATTTATTCCCCAGTTGGGTTCAGGGCCCTGTTATAGGGAAAACAAGAATAGACCCACTGCTACCCAAAAGCATGTCGTAAGAGTCGGCTAATTGGGAGCTTTCTTTAAAGTCAGAGTGCATCTGCCCGAGAGGCAAGGAACCAACAGTATACATACAAATTAGTCAGATCTGTCAAACGGATGCACACGCAGCACTCAAGTTCTGGAACAGGACTGCAGTCCAGAAGTGGACGAACAACCAGAACTTTCCGCCAGAGCTTACAGCTGGTGAACGTTAAGAAGAAGAAGATTCTTTAATTCATTCATTATTTCATTTTTTATTTCACTTCTTTTGTGTGCAGATAGGTAAATTTGTACATTTGCGATCTCCGTTTGCAGTCGTTTTATCCGTATGGGAGCCCATTTTGATGGCTCCATTGCTGATGCTGTTTTAATGGGAATTTGATGTTTTGTTTAGGTAGGAGAATGGATATACGTCCTTTGGACCACCATTCACAGTTTTAAAATTTTGAGTATTTTATTTTGCCAAAAAGTACTGAAAACAGTTTTTGATTTTGGATAGTAAGACACAACGCAGACTGATTTTTTGGCGAAAAAAAAAAAAAGATGCGGGCGTCGGGGAGGGTATCCTTAAACCATAAAATAAACAGACGTTGATTCGATTTTATGTTTTGCTAATGTATGAGTTCACATGATACTGTAGTCGAAGGTCATGATCAATTCGAAGTGTACTGTTAATTTATGTCTGTTGAAGTCATTTGAATTAACTAACCTGAAGTTGGTAGAGAAGGTGATGAAGGTAATGACGACAACGAAGGTGATCCTGACGATGATGCTTGTGATCGTATTGCTAGTGACAATGATGACAGTTCTTGGTGGTGGTGTTGATGATGACGTCAGTAGTGGTAATGATGAAGATGTGAACAATCGCCAGTGGAGCGTATACTCGGTCCACTTTAGCACCTACCTATCTACTGACTCATCTGACGACAGCTGCGTGTTTACAGGTGTCTAATGACAGCACTTTAAACACACCTCTCAATCTGTACAACATACAATTCTATAAAACACTCACCACAAGTGATAACACAGACATGTCATAGATACATCTGTTTCTATCCGCTACTCGGCGTCCATATCTCCATCTTAATGTCTCTCCTCAGAGCAGTGACAAGTGGTAAAGTACCTGCTACTGACGTACTTTTTTAGCGGCATAAACTTGATTTTTACTATGTTGTTTAATTGCTACAAGGAACCTTTTTCTACACCTTCACGCGTATTGGGCATATAGGGCTAGACCTAACTTTATGGTGGGTGATGTGGTCAACAACGCACTGGCTGTTTTTACTTCCCAGGACTTTACCTGGTACCCTTTAGGGGTGGGTCGACCTCAGAGCCAAGGCCCCTTTTAAAAAAAGTCAAGGACTTGAACCCACGACATTCAGATCCGCAGGCGAGCGTCTAACTGCAACACCAAGGCAGCTGTCTCCTGGTTCTGTGAGCCTAGGCGAAATGTCGATATTTCCACCTAAATATCTGCCATGTACTCAAGTATGCATTGAGCTTATTCCACGTGTAAAGAGACGCTACTCAATCAAGTCCCACCTGGCATGTTTGAAGACCGAAATAGCAACATTATACTGCAGTAAGTGACATCGAGTTATTTGTCCAGACTTTTACACCACTTCCCACTAAATCGTATCGTCTTTTTTAATTTAATTCCTTTCGCTGCACTTTCTGCAAACATGTTGGGATAAAAAATGTATTGAAATGGAGATTTGGTCGCATTTGCCTAAACATCTAATGGTGCTCTTGTCGAATCGTCATCAGTTCAGATTATTAGACATTAACCCCTCCCCCACCCCCACCCCCTCCCTTTCAACTTAGCCTAAAAATTCTGCATTCTTGCATCTTTTATTTTCCTATGATCTATTTTTGCCTTTTGTGACAGGCTTTAGAGATGCATCTGTTCCGAGCCTTTATATTTTTTTTTTTTTTTATTTATTTTGTAAGTAGTTTTATTATTTATTTTTAAATTCTCTCTTTCGGATTTGCAGTCTGGAGGATCAACATCTCAAACATGAGAATCAAATAGTTACAATTTCCACAAAACCCGTTCTGTCGTTTTGCCATATAGCACAGTTATATCAAACCACAACAACACGGTCACACAGTAACCTCAAGTCCAGTGCGGCTGTGTGTGGCCTTTGTGTGTGCTTTGTACAGGCAGGTATTCACGGCTTTGGATAACCTTAAAGTTTATATCAGAAAATTGCCTGCAAAATTACTATTACTTACCATCAAGCATTGATCAGTATACACATATGGTGTCTGTTATGTCAATCTGAGGGGGCGGGTTCGAATTCCCGGTCAGGTGATTTTTTTTTCGTTTTTCTAACTGTTGGGGGTCAGTAATAAAATCCTCACCTGTATAGTCCGTGGCCACTACACTAGCCTTGCGGTCCTAAATCTCCAGCCTCCGTAGACCCCCGTCCGTTAGCTGCCTCGCAGACAGATGCACACCGACTTCAAAGGAAAAACCTTTTTTTTCTTCTTTGCGTTCACCGGCTGTAAATTCTGGCGGAAAGTTCTTTTGTTTGTCTACTTCTGCATTTCAGTCTTGTTCCATAACTTCAGTTTTGCGTGCATATCTGTTCTACAGATGTAGCTTTATTTGTATGCGGACTGTTGGTTCTTTGCCTCTAAGGCTAATGCGCCCGGACTCGGAAGTTAACACCCTAAAAAGTCGACCTTTAAAATAGTTAGTTGCGTATCCTTTACAGGACGTTGCAGAACCAACCTGAAACAGCCCCTGGCTGTTGTGTGGTTTCTCTAGGCAAGTTGCATCCAGTAGTTTGCCATTGCTTCTGGACGGTCAGCTTTCTTGATACCACTGTCGAAACCAACGCAAGGCGCATTGCCCGCAGCTGGGATCGAACCTGGTATCCCGGCATTACGGAGCGAAGCGTTCGCATCGACTTAGCCACAGAGCCGACACCTTTAAAATATTTGTTTTAAAAAAGGATAGGGGTGAGGCAGTGGGTCCGGTCATGTAGGTGCACCCCCCTTTCCCCCCACCCCACAAAGAAGTTCCAGAACCTAACTGTAGGAGTTGAAAAGATTAGGTTCCCTCACAGACATCGCAGAAACAACCCCAGCATTGTTTGGCATCTGCGGTTTTTCTAGGCTGATTGTTCGTTTAGTAGTTGTTCATTGTTGACTGGGCTGTTAGCTCTCCTTGCCACTTTCGAAACCAACGCAAGTCGGTCTGCTGTCAAATCACACGCAGCTGGGATCGAACCCGGCACCCCAGCATTACGTGGCACTTTCGCAACGCCTTAGCCACAGACGCCGATATTGAGTACTTTTTCCTTTAACGTCATAAGGATAGTTTTCCTTGGTCATTATTTACGTCTGTGTATTTCGTAAATTGCTGTCTTCAAAACATTTCTAATCATAAGTATAAACAAATTTTACATTTCAATAAAGAGTGTGTCAGAATTATATAAGCAATACATTTTTTAAAAATAAGCAATGAAAACGTCTATCAAAAATACAGTTCCCATGAGATAATTTGTCTGTGCATTACGCAACCATATTTTTGCGTACGTCTCCTTCAATGCCATGGAAATTTATATTTTCAGTCCCGAGTTGCAACTTTTATAGAATTAAACATTAAAGCAAAGTAAACATTCACCTAAAAAACAGCCAGGAGGATGAAGAAAAATTTAACACCTTAAAAGGCATTTTAAGATTCTGTGTAACATTAATCTCACGTATGACGGTAGGATTACACCTGTGTGTAATCGAGCCCAGGTATGGATTTTATCTTTCACGTACTACATAAACATAATTAGTACTCGGTGTTCACACAACACTGGGATTTAATTCATTATAAGTAATCGATTTCTGCGCAGTTCTTTTGCACGGTTTCCATAGCCGCCATTTTAATCACCATGACAACGGTCTTTGTTGATGCAGTGGGAAGCTACTGGTAACTACAGGTTTCAGTTTTGCGATGATTGGGCCTTATGGCGTGGTTATGCTGGCATGTTTGCGTTTCTT